GTTGCAGAATGGACACTTTGCCCTGCTGAACTCTGGAGGAGATAAATAACCAAACCTATCTGTTATGTTTTCCAATTTTCATTCCAGTCTCACAGCTCCCGAAATTTAAAATTTTCCTGAATATTTTAAAATATTTATTTCCTGAAAATAATTATTTATTTTTCCTGTTTGCTGTGCATCTCATTGTTTCACCCTCCACCAGGAAATTGTTATCGCAGTATAGTAATGTGAGGAATCTCAGTAAGAGAAGTCTTCAAAAGCAGGGCAATATCCCAACTGACCTACTTTAGGGTCAGCTTTAGATACTGTGATATCATAATGCCTAAAATTTTGGTGTGTGGTTACAGCAAAGTGATTCAGATAATCCAATGGCAACAAGATTCCCAATCCTGTAACTGAAGAGGATAAATTACTATTAAGTGACATTCAGAAGGCTTGCATATTAAGTGAAGAGCTGAAAAGTATTCTGAAAGACACTAGGCACAGAGATGGTTCTGAACTCCTGCCCTTCTCTCATAGTTGGGCACTTCATGTGGGTACCTTAGATACTTTGGCTCACTTCAGGTTCAGAACCTAAGTTAATCTTCTAAATATAATAACCTCAGTAAACATTTGAAATCATAGAATTACACTTTACAGGGCATATGGCCCACCACATGCCTACTAAGTTAATGGTAATAGCATTTGTCAGGAACCAGGAAGCCTGTAATCTAAAACCAGTCAATGGAGTTCAGACTTGTACTTGCTACTTTCCAGAAACGTACCTTAGTAAGTGGGCTAAGGGCTAGTTTTGGTTTAGAAATCCTCTGCCCATTTTCTTGGGAATGATCTGCCATGCATCCTGGAATGCGAGACTTGGAGAGCTGGTTGAGAGCATGCAAGAGGAGATCTGACTCTATCCATATAGCTGTGACATCTAGCCCAGAAGCGTGGTATATTATGCCTGTGTAGGTTTCCAGTCTGAATATTTTAATTTCATTTTGAAAAAGAAAGAGGATGCTTCTGTGTGCCAGATTTTCTTATAAAAACTGAATTACCAAAATAAGAATTGCTCCTCCCTAAGGAACATGTTGTCAGATATTTGTTAAATAAGAACAAATTGCAAGAGAATAAAATACTAACTACATTACATTAATCGGAAGAAGAGCAGTAGGTCTTTGAGAAATATATAAACATCTGCATCAAAATATAGGTTGCTTTGCTTGCTGGTTGGAGCAGGTAATTTTATGTATGAAATCTATGCTATCTGCTGACTCCTGTAATAAAAAAGGAATTAGATTTTTCTTTTGCACAAATAATCATATATATTAAAAAATCCTGTGCCCAAAGCCTCTAAAAATCTAGTCTTCTGAGAGGGCAGGCTTTAGATCTTTTCAATTATGAGATGGTAGAAGAACAGAAGGTTATAAAATAAATGAGAATAGAAAATACTACTTCTTGGATGCTTTTAGTTCTAGAACTATTCCTAAGCATGTGCAAGTATGTTCTGATATGGAGTTGTAGAATCTCCAGTATCAAATCCAGGTTTTAGTGTCAGGAAAAAAAGTACATTGCAATTGCATGGACCTTGAAGGAAAATAGCCTACTAATATCAGTCAGCTTGGTAAATCTTGTATTGTATTTTACATGTTACTTTATAGCGTTGTCTGCTTGTTTGTGATTTTTGTTGTTGTTGTTGTTGTTCCTTAAAAATGCTATGTATTTTCAGGTTGGATGAGTTAATTGAAACATTTCTTGAAGATGATGATCCTGATAGCACTCTGGATGTTGGCGCTGACATGCGCAAGATCAAGTATTGCTTTGTTCATGTGAAGGTATTTCTTTTAAACATAGCTGGAAGTGCAGTTGGCACCGAAAATAACTTTAAGACCTTCATTGTTGAAAAATGTCAAAAGAAATGTAATACAGCTGAGAGGCATTAGAAAAGGGCAAAAAAATTGAGCTGTGAGGTACATGGAGGACTAATAGAAATTTGAAATTTAGTTGGAAAAATTCAGCAGCATTGTGTGGAAACCCAAGCAAGGATGTCAACGTGCAGTAAATTGTAAGAGAACACTGGAAGCTATTGGAATCAACACAGACAAGTTATTTGTATATGGATAGATGTATCCATCTCTGTTCCCAGCACTGTGGAGGCTTTATTTTGGACAAATTATGTTGAAAGAGATAAAAATAAAGAGTAAAAACATCATATCCCTGAATCTGTTACACTAACTCTTCTGATAGTGTTGTCAGCCCTTCTCAATCATTGAGCAAACAAGATACACTTAAACTATGAAGAACAAGTGAAATTAATAGGGAAAACAATAGAAGTTAATATCTACTTTTCTGTGTTTTGGGATATAGTTTTCCAGTATAAGAATGTATACATGCCTGATCTTAATTTATTGTCTTCAAATAATTAGATTTTAATTATATTTTTAATACTGAAAGCTCTGTGATACTAGAGAACGCTGGGATGTACGTGTAGAAAGAGTAAATGGTACACTTGGTAGTGAAGATCAACAAATACAACTCATCCCATACTTGACACAACGCATATATCTTGGCAGTCAAGTGGTGGCATGATTTTGTTCTGTCAAGAGTCTAGAAAGGCCTTACCTTTTGTACCACAGCTAGACAGTCTCAGAATAGAAAAAATACATAGCTGGAGGTAAAGTTAAAAGTGTATCCTCTCTTTGTTTCTCCTAATAGCAACTAATGAATAATTCAAAGATTTCTGACAAAAAAATGCTCTCACAACACATCTCTGAAGAGAAAGACACTAACAAAGAAGCAGGAGAAGAATTGAAAAAACTGAAAGAACTTCTGCAGCAAAGAGACAATGAAATCAGTATCCTTTGTGAGAAAAAAATATAATATTTGGGTTTAAGCTAATCTGGCTACAATGGTTTTTGTGTGTGTGACATGAGCATTAGCTGTATGGAAACAAATTCTCTCTACTGACCTCATTGTGTTAAAGCAATTACTCAGTTCCCAACTTTTATGTGGCAGGACTCCTGCTTTGCACCTGCTTCTATTTCAGTTGTGACCCAAACCAAAATCCTTGATCCAAGCACCACTTAGCTTTAGAATGGTCCAGCCAAGATCCAAATACCATGGATCAGGCCAGGCCTAAAACAGTCTCCTCAAGCAAATTAAACCATTTTTTAGAAGGTGAAACTCTGTTGCTAAGTAAAGACCAATTTATTACCTTACAAAGAATAGAATTTCCTGTAAATGTTATTTTTAGCCAAATGAAGTGCTACTTTGGGGACTACTGGGCTATTTGCCTTTAGAATAAATATAAAAATTGTACATTTACATGCAACTTTAAAATTTAAATTAAAACTAAAGCTTTTTGCATGTAAAAATATTAAACTGCTCAGACATGCTTTGTCCATTTCGCTCTCTCACAGGAAACACGAGTAGCTGCACTGTTACACGATGGGTGGCACTTATTTTTAGCAGGTTGGCTGAACTGTGGGCAGACCGCAGCATCACTGTGTCCCTAAATTTGTGGCTACTCGGTGGGTAAAATTTGAATGTGGCAGATAACTGAAACAATGGTTTTGGTTTGAATTTATAAGTAGCAGAGGTTCTTTCACAGTTATTAGTAAAAAGCAAACTCAGTTGCATTCTTTGTGCTCAACAATTCCAGATCAATTCTATATGTCAATTGACAATGGCGTTTTACATTGGGCTGTAGCATGCTACCAGTCTGAATTGAGGTGGCAGGAAAGCTTCTCTATTTCTGCTCTGTCACAGGAGATAAGATGTTCATTTTCCAAAGTGCACTTTCAAATACATTTAGCTATAACTCTGGCTTATCATTCCCTTTAAAAAATTCTTAAATTTTCGTGTCAATTTTAAGATCTAGATTCCCAGAAACATTTCTTCCTGAAATAAGTTATTTCAGTAGTATGAGATTGATAATGAAAAAAACCAAATCATCTCTATCAAATGCACTTGTACTTGATAGATATATACAACTTTGTTTGCAGAAGTGCAAGGAAGAAACTTGTGTAAATCCATGTTAGAGTTACAGAGGAAGAATGTAAGAATGTGTTCAGACTTTGAACACAATGCTGATTTACAGTCTGCCGCTGCTAATTGAGTATAGGTCATCATCAGAAAATTAGTAACATGTCTAATGTGATGAAGTGATGGCAAGTATGGAAGCTGTTTAGTCAATAAACCATGAGGTCCTTCTTGCCTATGGTAGCTAGGAACTATCATAACAACTGAATTGTGAAGTGTTTTATTATTACTACCTAGTCCAGTTAATAATATTCTTCAGCGTCTACTTAGATTTTCTGCTGTTCATTTAGATTAATTAGGATTAAAATGAATAGCATATGAAAAGACATATCACAGGGACTCCTGTGGTTTTGGCTGAATGCACATAGGATTTTCATTGTAAGTCCTCTATATGCTGTTGGGCAAAATGTATTTATACCACATATACTTCCAGTAAGTACATAGTGTTATTGGAAGAAATTTGCTAAAGACCTGTTCTGCATTTTAGTAAACCTTCTTATTGTGAAAAGCTTACAGATGTCATGCACTTGCCAGGCTACCTGTAAGTTAAATGTATTTTTTCTTTTGTCTGGAAATTTTGTTTATTACAGAATTTAAAAAATAAAAAAAGGAGTGTCACACAACGGCAATAAGATACTAGAGTTTTCATTCCTATTTGTCTGTGAATGCTTTTATTAGGTGTTGATTGAATGAGATCAACAATTGTGATCAATGTGTGAATTTGTTACTGTTTAGTAAAAATGAATTTGCTGTTTGGAAAAACTAAGGTGGATGAATATAATTACAAAGAATATGCCCAACTCCAAATTCACATTCACATATAGGCTTCCATACTGTGAATTGTTCTACCTGGGAAAAAAAAAAAAACTTAAGGATAAACAAAGATTATTGTTGCTTTATAGAAAAGATGCCCTTAATGATTTCCTTAATGTATCTTGCAGATATCCTGGTAAATATGCTAAAAAAAGAAAAAAAGAAAGCTCAAGATTCTCTTTTCCATCTTAATGCTGCCTCTGCTGGTTCTACAGTCTTGGAGCAGTCTCTTTCCATAAACTTGGAAGAAAGTCAGAGCCCATCTAGCTGTTTTAGTCTCAAAGAGGCAAAAGATTTCAGCTCTTCAGTTCACAGACTACCTTTTCTTTCCAGACAAACAGGTTAGTGTAATTAATTAAGTGAGCAGTACTTAGATTATTAAGATGTGATTTACAGCATATCATTCAAATGTGTACCAGAACAGGAAAATTTTATTTTCAGTATCAACCGTATTATGCTAATTCTGTATCCACAAAGGTAGGGATTTAAATTTATAGTCCTCTCAAGGTGCTGATGGCTTTTACAAACTGATATGAATACTCTGTTGAATGGTGCTACAAAACCAGAGTATAAATTCAGTTGCAGGCCCTTGAATCTTTGAGTAAACTCTCAGAAAAGGATTTTTTAAGCATAGTTCATTACAAAATACTAGGAAATAATACTTTTCCCCTGGAAGATTTGAAAATACTGACTTTTAAGAAAAAAGAAATCTAAACAGGAACTACAGATACTGGGAGAATATTTGTACAGGCATTATCAATTGCACAGTGCTCTTAAACACCAACTTTTTTTCCCTTTTTTCTTTTTTTTTTTCCAGCCTAGGAGAGAAATCTTACATTAAAATAAAATGAAATTTCATTAATTATGCTTCTAGCTCTACTATCATATTGTAAACACAAAACTTTTTACGATTATCTTTAAGGGTTTTTTTTATACACTTTAGATATCTTGGATTTATTTAGCATTTTTAGTAAACCATGGTCATTATTTCTATTGTTAAAAAAATGAATGTAATTATGTGAACTGAGACCTTAGTAGAAGTAGAAATGACAAATAGCTCCATTTTTGTGCATGCAAGCAGCTTTATTGAAATGGTACCTTTATGGAACAAGACCATATTGCAGATATCCTGGTAAATATGCTAAAAAGAGAAAAAAAGAAAGCACTCTTTTCCACCTTAATGCTGCCTCTGCTGGTTTTACAGTCTTGAAGCAGTAGATTGCCATATTCCATATGCTTGAGCACTTGAACAAAGTAAATGCTGATGTATTTAAAAATATATATTTTTTAATTATTCCTCAAGTGGTTTAATAATTTACATTGTTTGCAAACAAGTTAGAGCTGAATTCATAAATAATGCATTCATTTAGGATAGCTAACACACTCAACACCATTTTACCATGTGCTGTGCCTTTGTCAGCAGATGAGTACTATTTGTCCATACGTAACTGATAAAAAAATTTTATCTCTTATAATAAAACCAGTGTATTGTTATTCATACTTTATTTTATTTGAGCTGTTTTGTAAAATTTAATAAGTGACCATATTGAATACTGCTCATTGAAAAAAAAATTATTTGGGACAGATGGTTGGCACAGGCAATCTGCCACAATGATGAAGTATTGTCTTTGGTTAATCAATAAGTAAAAGTAAATGTAATTGATTCCCATTCCGTTTTGATAATGAGTTTTAAATGGAATGAGAAAGTAGTATGTTTTGAGGTAAGACTTTTTTTATACAATTGGATAGCACATGGTTTTCTCAGTTTAAAAGTAGTTGGAAACCTACTCCTTTCTTTCCAGTCCTCTTTTCAAACAGTTTTGGGTCAGATTCTGATATTCTGTGTCGTTCCATGTGGATATGAAAATGATGAAATCCTCAGTAATCAGGATGCTAAGTGTGAACGTGAAAGTCCTCCCTTTGGTTCACTTAGAGTTCATTGATTATTTAAACATTCCAGTCATACTGCTTGAGCACTACAGATAAATAAAAAGTTATTTTTTGAATATTCAGGTGGCCATATATTTCTGCATTCCTTTAGAGTGGCCTGACATTCTGCCGCAAGCCTAGTCCAGTAATGTTGGTGGCATTCGGACTTAAAATCTTCTGTAATATATAGCTGTTGTAATGATAATGCCTTAAAACATTATTTCTTAAAATATTTTTGTTTTTGTGCTCAGGGAATACTTAGAATGGCAGGCATAAAGTAGTAGAAACATTCTTAATAATACAACATGTACAGCCTTGTCAGTATGCCTGGCAACTGCCAGGCAACATGCCAACCTCAGGAGACCAATTGTCTCTGCTAGAATATAACTGAGTGTCCAAGCTCTTTTGTGCTTTTGTGTCTCTGAAAATGACAGTATTTTCTACCTAATATATAAATAACTTTATTTTTCTCTTTCTTTTGTTTTATTTCTTAAAGTTCGGAAAGTAACAAGCTTCAATATTTATGTAACTAACATTTATATTAAAAAGTTCTTGTAGACTCAAAATTAGCTTGTAGGGTTTTCACAGTTTGATTCTCTGTGGTACTAAGAGACATACTTGAGAAAAATTCACTATATAACACATGTAAACATATGCAGACAGTTCATCAGAAAATGTTAAAAAATGTCTCACTGTGTACTTATACATGGTACACATAAAAACATCATATCAGATGTAAAGTTTTGCTACAGGAGAAGAATTGCAAAGCACCATAAAACCTCAAGTGGTTATTACTATTTTTCTATTTTATTATAAAGCCATGACAGTGCAAAGGTACATTAGTACATTCCTTGGCAGACAAAAAACTCTTAACTCTGTCTGCTCATGGCTAGGATATAGCTGTCTTTCCTATTGGACTCAGACCTGAACACATTTGTATGCTTTGGACTTGATTAATCCCATTTGTTCTACCTAAGAATAAAGCAAAATACCTTGAAAGAACACCATCTGGTGAAAAGCATAGTGGTCAACTTACATAGCAAAATAAGTTATTCGCAAATATGTAATTTTAATACTCATGCAACAAATAAATATTTGGACTTAAGATTTTCCTTTTAACCTTCAAATTTCTGTATGGATTTGAAAAGCTTTCTCATCATGGTAAGTTTTTGACAACCTACTGCAGTGATGAAATTGTCAACTGGCTGGAGAGGCTTGTGAAAGAATGGGAAATAAGTTTGATAGAGACCATTGCAACAGTATGAAATGCTTTTCCCAGGAGTTAGGAATTACCATAGGCTTTGTCAGGACTCGTAACTAATTTTTCTAATATTGTCTTGCACTCTTCAATTAGTATGGCTATTAAAGAAGTTCTGGAAGCTATGTTGTCAACCCCAGAAGTTATAAATACTCAATCATGCACCTTAAAAGATGAGATTAAATATTCAAATCATTAGATTCCAGAAGAGTGAGTTTTAAACGATACAGTGGTATAAGCAGTATTTACTGTTAATATTTTGGAAAATGTATTCTTCTGCATTCTAAATTTTTAGAACTACCTGAAACTATTCCTAGAACCTGATTTTACAGGATTTTAGGAATATGTTTCACTTTATCCATATAAGTAATACCACAGGATTTAAGTATGTGCTTAAATCTTTATAAAAACAGCAGCTCAAACAATGCAAAATATATTGCCCAGTTAGCATGGATTGTGTTCTAAGGGAGTTTTTACAGTGGTTAATTGAAAAGGGTTAACTGTTAAACATTGCAGTTCTCCATACTTAGGTCAGCTGAACTGTTTTTTATGACAATAAATAACTATTCTTGCAAATTGTTAGTTTCAAAATCAGCATAAAGCAACTTACAGTAACTATAGACAGATTTTTGTTGCATAGTTGCATGTTTTCTCTATTTTCCATTTCAATTGTTCAAATAAAAAGATTTGTTGGTGTCAGTAGGTTCTAGAAGCACTTATGTTTTTGTCAGTAAAGAAGAACATGCATCATCCTAGATTATCATGTATAGCTTTGGCATATTCATGACTTACATTTCTGTATACTGGTTTTTATGTATTTTGTGAGGATTTTTTTAACTGAAAGGTGAGAGAATCTTCAGCTCAAAATTCAGACAGGACAGCTGGCAAGTAGAAACTTAGATTTTGCTAATGTCCCAATGTGGATAGATTTCTTAAACTGTTTAAAGTTGCCAATTATCCTCTACAATTGCTTAGTAATTGAACTAGCAGTCAATTGTCACAGTTATTTTGTTTGAGTACTCTCAAACTTTAGTGGGGTTGTGACTCTATTAGAGGAGGTTGCATGCAGGAATGGGAAAGGAATTATCATAGACAATAAGCAGGAGAGAAGTTAGAAGGAACAAATGAATATACAAGAGTTGTATATCATGAGCTGCACACAAGTGAAAGAAAAAGAACTACATCTAGGAACAGAATGTTGAAAAAAATAGAAACTGAAGAATTCTAGTTATCCTGGTTTCTGCAAAGGAAAAATCCCTTCTTAAGATCTGCAGTTTTTTAAATATGTGATTCAGGAAGAGAATTAAGAAGTCGTTAACATAATCAGATTATCAAAAGGCACAATGAGATCCCACACAAAAGGCTGTTGATGAAATTGAGTAATCAGGGATTAGGCATAAAATACTGCTTTAAAAAAAAGTTAAAGACTGTTGAAAGAGATTACATTAAAACTCCTTCATGTTTTATACCATGTGATATGTTTTATACCAGTGATAAAAAATAAGGATGAATCCTACAGAAGTTTATATCATGGATTTTTTACAGCTGGTGCTTCACATATTCTTTAGAATTATCAAACAGGGCCATACTGCCACTTACCATACAGGATACTAGGCTAGCTTGATCTTGCATCTGTTCCATTATGGCAATGTGTGTTTGTTCTTAATTTATCTCCTAAAACAAAGGAGAGGTTGGGAATTTGTTTGGTGATTTCTTTCTTATGCCTCTTCCTGTTTCTGTGTATAATACTCTTCCGTATGTATTCTTTCCATTCCAACTGACTCAGCAGCTGAGGAAATCCCTTTGCCTCCTACTCTTCCTATTTGTCATGCTCCTTGTCATTTGATAGGAAAAATTTACTTGATTTGGTGTCATAATAGTATTAACTAAGTATGTTTGTACTCAAAATAGAAAGCTTTTGATAACCTCAGAAATATGTTAGCAAAAAGCAGCCATATTTTATCAACAAATGACTAGTATATGTACATCTTTTATGTAATGCCACTTATTCTTTAGGCTTTCAGTAAGAATCTCAGAAGCATTAGCAAATTCTCAGGTTTGATACTCTCTCTTTTTGCAAATAATTGTATGTGTATGTACACTTGAGTTTTCTTTGAACATAAAGTAGGAACTAGCATGTCAGCTCAAATTGAC